TGACGACGCTTCCGAAATGGATGGACCCCGAGCCGGTGACGATACGTGTCAACACCATCAACATGCGGCGGGCGATCAACAGTGGAGCTCAAGCCTATGCAGTGCACCTGTACGAGGTTGCAGCCTCCGAAAATGAATATCCGTGAACCTCTGCTCCAACTGCGACACTTGTACATCGCGGACATCGACATGCTCTGCGCGGCAGTCCCTGACGAGTTGGCGAGCATCATTCGGAAATATCCCGAAATTTTCGCGGATGGCCTGCCCCCTCAGCGCCCAGAAGACAATCGAATCCAGCTGGAACCCCGCGCGCAACCTACTGTGCGGACACAGTGGCGGCTCAGCCAACCAAAGCTCAACGAGCTACGAAGCCAAGTGGATTACCTGCTAGCCAAGGGATTCTTACGGCCGAGCACGTCGCCATTTGCGGCACCGATACTGTTCACGCCGAAGAAGGACGGGGGCTTACGCATGTGCATTGATTATCGGACGTTGAATCGGGTCACAATAAAATCACGTTACCCGATCCCGCGAGCGGACGATCTGCTCGATCAACTTCGCGGAGCTCATTACTTTTCGAAAATTGACTTGCGATGCGGCTACCACCAAATTCGCGTGTTCGCCGACGACTGCCCGAATACATCTTTTCGCACACGCTACGGCAGTTACGAATATACAGTGATGCCGTTCGGACTGACCAACGCGCCTTCGACGTTCCAGCTGACAATGAACGGGATCTTCCGGGACATGCCGGTCGTGTATCTCGACAACATCCTGGTGTACAGCAAGACACAGGATGAGCATTTACGGGATTTGGAGGAGGTGTTCCGGCGCTTACAGGAAAATCGGCTAATTACGAAGGGGTCTAAGTGCGAGTTCCTTAAATCGGAGTTGGAATTTCTGGGGCACGTGGTTTCCGGTGAAGGTATTAAAATTGTGTTGAAATGTATTCATATACATTTATAAATGCCTACATTAGAGTTTAGTGTAGTTATATAGTCTCCTGCTTGGTGGTGCACCATTTGCCCATTTCCTTGACTATATCTTGTATGCCTTCTATTATTCACCCATTCTCCTTTTCAACTCTCTCGTTCTAGTTTTCTCAAATTGACCTTCGTAAAGTGGACGCCATCGCTAAGTGGAAGTGGCCGACAAATATCCCTGAATTGCAGAGTTTTTTTGGTTTTGTAAACTACGTTCGCCGTTTTGTACCTAATATGGCAGGGATAACCAAGCTGCTGACCGACCTGCTGCACAAGGACACGCATTTTCAGTGGGGGGGGAAAGAGCAGTCCGCCTTCGACATACTCAAAAACATTTTGAGTTCACCCCCGGTGCTCCGCCTCGCCGACCCATCTCGACCGTTCGAAGTCATCACGGACGCCAGCGATTTCGCTGTTGGCAGCGTCCTACTACAGGACTTCGGCAAAGGGCTGCAACCCATCGCCTACGAATCACGCAAGATGCAGCCACCCGAACGCAACTACCTGGTCCACGACAAAGAAATGCTGGCCATCGTCCACGCATTTCGTACCTGGCGTTGTTACCTCACAAGAGCCGATGTGACGATCCGAACCGACCACAAATCGCTACATTACATGCGCACACAACCGACACTCAATCCGCGACAGATCCGGTGGTTGGACTACCTCGAGTCCAATTTTCGGTACAACATCACGTACAAGAAAGGCGCCAACAACATTGCTGCCACCCTCACCCGACCATCCATGCAGACCGCGGCGGTACTAATCGCCCACACCAACCCGATGCTGACAGGACTATTCACCCACGGCTACAGGATCGACATGTTTTTCAAGAACCAGCACCAACAGGCTACAACGCAACACGGCAATTATCGCCTAAAAGCCGGTACGAACCGGATTTGGGTGCCCGCCTACCAGCCTTTACGGGAGTTGCTGATGCAGGAGGTACACGACTCCAACCTTTCCGGGCATTTCGGCATCGACAAAACACTGAAGCTACTGCAGCGGAACTACTATTGGTCGGACATGCTAACCGACCTGCAGCGCTACGTGACAACTTGCCCGACCTGCCAAGCAATGAAGTCGTCGCGACAAAGGCCGGCCGGACTGCTGCAACCCCTCGAGCCACCCGAACAACCATGGCAACAGGTGACGATGGATTTCGTCACGGGGCTTCCAGCTGGCGCGAGTGGCAACGACTTGGTGATGGTCGTAGTTGACCGACTGACGAAGATGGCGCATTTCGCACCATGCCGCACGACAATCACAGCCGAAGATACGGCCAAACTCTTCATCTCGACCGTCGTACGCCTACACGGTTTACCTTCGGCGATCATCAGCGATCGAGACCCGAAATTCATGTCGAAAATCTGGCAGGAGACATGGGCACAGTACGGCACCCGCCTGCGGTTTTCGTCGCCATACCACCCGCAAACCGACGGAGAGACAGAACGGACAAATCAATCTATGGAGCAGCTGAATCGCACCAATTGCCCGGACCTACGCAAGTGGGATGATTCGCTGCCGATGCTGGAGTTCGCCTATAACAACGCCCCTTCGGCCACGACTAAACAATCGCCCTTCTACCTGAATTACGGGATCGACCTCATGGTACCCTCATCAACGACCCTGGACAACCCGGTACCACGATCGCAGCAGTTTGTCACGGAACTACAGACAGCCCGCAAAAAGGCAGCTGACTTTATCCGTACAGCAAGCCGGAATGCGGACAAGCATCGACGGTATTTACCCTTTCGTCCTGGGCAAGTCGTCCTCCTGGACACAAAAAACCTCCGACTGCCACAGCCAGCGAAACTACGGCCAAGATATGTCGGACCTTTTCGAATCGTCCAGATGGTGACACCTGTCACCGCGAAGCTGTTGTTGCCCGACGACTGGAAGATACATGACGCGTTCCACGTCAGCCTGCTGTGCCACTATGACCAACCATCGCGCCGACCACATGCCCCGTGGCTGAACCCACGCTCGAGCCTTGGAATATTTTGAACCATCGCGTGGAATTGACTGCCGCCGGCCGCAAGATCACGTTCTTGCTTCGCTGGAAGGATCGCACGAGCGAGGACGACACGTACCGTAATCCCCCGTATATAAGACCCTAGGGTATTATGATAATCACCCCTAAAAAGGCTGGGGGGTATAATTAAATGGTATATTTTTTAGAAGACCCGGGTCTGTTCACATTGACATTTATAAGAATGCACGATGTTGTACATTTCAGTCTCGTAAGTTCAATCGAATCAAACTTTTACAGCATCCTGAATCAGAATCGCGCGAGGGCGTTTCCCTGACTGTGCACAGAGATTTGGCACGTCACTTTGCCCGCGTGCCAGCTCATCCTGACTGGACGCGCAACAAGTGAGGCCTTCGAAAGTCAAACACATTGAAAATGGGTGTTGACTCATTTAAAATTCGAAATTCGTTACCATTTTCAATTGCATTTTTTTGTAAAATCCGCACTTCTCTAGTATGTGGGGGGGTCTTAGGGCGTGTTCCTACGCTCTTATCAGGCAAACCTCTTGTCAGCCTTGCCTGGTAAAAGTAGCGAGGGTTTTTGGGTTTAGGGAATTTTCAGGGGGAAAAGTAGCGAGCTTGATAAGAGGTTGCCCTGATAAGGGGCCGTAGGAACACGCCCTTATAATGTTAGGAGCCATTTAGGGGGTATAACTCAGATGTACTCAAATAGAGTACCCAGGTCCGTATTATAGACCCGGGGGTCTACAACTGGGGGGGGGGTCCTATATACGGGGGATTACGGTACGTCGCGGCTGACTCGCTACAAGGACATCCGGTTGTGGATGCTTACCTGGCCCGCCGGGGTGTCTCGGATATACACCACCTTTCTTAAGAGGGGGGGGGGTAGTGTTGTCAGAATGTAATATTTGTCTAGTCTGCAGTAAGGTACTCTATAGTGAGTACAGCCAGTTCGGGTTTGCTATTTGTATCCCAACCGCCTGCTAGTCAAACCCTTTTTTTTGTTCTAACCTTGTGCCTACTATCTTGACATGGTATCAGGGCGAGTACGTTCCTGGCTTGTGGGCCCACCTGCTTCCGCTGCTGTCCTGTCTGTCGCGCGCCCCATGGCGCGCGACGTTTTTTCTTCCCGCCACGCGCTCGGGGCGGATGGCGGTTTTCTGCCCGCCGTGCGCCCCGAGGCGTGCTGCGGTTTACTGCCTCGCGCGTCACCCCGGGGACCCGCGCGTCCCTCCTCGTCAACCGTCGCGCCGCCCCCGGGGACCCGCGCGTCCCCCCCGTCGACCGTCGCGTCGCCCCTGGGGACCCGCGCGCGCCCCCCGCGATCCCGTCGCGTCGCCCTGGGGACCCGCGCGCTTTCCCCGCCATCTCGTCGCACCGCCCTGGGGACCCGCGCGCGCCCCCTGCTCTCCCGTCGCGCCGCCCTGGGGACCTGCGCGCGCCCCCTGTGCTCCCGTTGCGCCGCCCCGTGCGCCGCGAGGCTTCTTCCTCCCCGTGGGTGGCGAGTATGGGGGTGACGGGTGTGTGAGGCCTCCCCTGCTCCTCCTCCTCCTCTCTCTCCCACAGCTACAGCTGCCGCTGAGGTGTCGAACAGACTGCGTCGCACAATGCTAGAACATCAGCGTTTGGGGAATGTCCGTCGTCTATTTTGGATACCAGAAACCGCCAGCTCACCCACATTTCAACGGCAAGACCCACGCGATTCCTCAGGAAGGAACTTCGTTGCAGTCCTATAGTTACGGTGTAACTTCAAATCGTTAGAAAGCAGAATAAACATGTTTTGTAAAAATGGGGGCATTCTTATCATGTTTTCCCCTCTAGGAGGGTAAAACAGAAAAAATATATCAAACAAAATAGACTCACTCCTGGAAAAACTTCGATTCATTGGCCGAAACTGGATAGAAGGGGATTGATTCCAGTGCTTCTCCCTTTGCCCAGCCTTTTTTCTGCCACCGCATATCCAACCGACTGGTAATCCTAGAAGTGTGATCCTTAGCAGTGGGAGGCCTAGGGGGAGTGGGAGGCCTAGGGGGAGTGGGAGGCGACCCAGTGGTAGAGCAGGCTGGCACCGAAGCCAGTGCCTCCGCCCTTCTTCTCGCTCCACACCGGCCCTGCAATGTCCAGATGCGCCCACGGCAGCCCCTCCGCCACAAACTGGTAAAGGGGAGTGGTGGCAGCAACAGCAAACAGAGAGGCATGAGAGAGGAGGGAGTGGTGGCAGGGAATGGCGGCAGGGGATGGTGGCAGGGAATGGTGGGAGCAACAGCAAACAGAGAGGCAGGAGACAAGAGAGAGAGTAAGTTCGAGGCAATTTTGTCTCGTCATAATGCACACAAATGTGCTGCTTCAAGGTTAGCCCAGAGAGAGACGGGAGGAAGAGAGGGGCTGCTGCAAAAGAGACTGCCAAAGTGTGATTCTGGTCAGCAGGGCATGAAGAAGTGGCACAGAACAAAGACCCTCTCCCCCTGTTGCCTGCTGCCGCTGAGAAACTGCAAGAAACAAGGGCTGTGGTGTTTTCCTCTCTCAGTTTCCCCCCCCCTCATTCTCCACGCACCTGCTTGAGGAAGAGTGCTGCAGTGATGGAGCCGCCCTCGCGGCCGCCGGTGTTGAGCATGTCGGCATGCTTGCTGCGCATGCCCTCCCAGTACGCCTCCTCCATGGGCATGCGCCACACCTTGTCGCCACACGCCCGAGAGGAAGCTTCCAGTTCCGCTGATAGCTCATCACTCGGGGTGAAGAGACCTGGGAGTGGTGGCACGGAGGAGGTTGGTGGAGGTGGTTGCTTGTGGGGGTGTGAATGTATAAGGGAGGGATGTCCACTTGGGTATGGATGCATGCATGCAATGTCACGAGCATACCAGCGATGTCACGAGCGTACCAGCGATGTCACGAGCGTACCAGCAATGTCACGAGCGTACCAGCAATGTCACGAGCGTACCAGCGATGTCACGAGTGTACCAGCAATGTCACAAGCGTACCAGCAATGTCACGAGCGTACCAGCAATGTCACGAGCGTACCAGCAATGTCACGAGCGTACCAGCAATGTCACGAGCGTACCAGCAATGTCACGAGCGTACCAGCAATGTCACGAGCGTACCAGCAATGTCACGAGCGTACCAGCAATGTCACAAGCGTACCAGCGATGTCCTTCCTGAGGGCGATGCTAGGAGATGATACAAGCGCCGGTGAGAGTGGCAACACCTCAGTCTACTCAAAAGTCACCTCAGCAATGCATGTGAAGAGCATACCAGCGATGCATGGGCGGGGCGTACCAGCGATGTCATTCCCGAGGGCGATGATACAAGCGCTAGTGAGAGTGGGAACACCTCAGTCTACTTCAAAGTCACCTCAGCAATGCATGTGAAACGCGTACCAGCGATGTCATTCCCGAGGGCGATGATGCAAGCGCCAGTGAGGGTGGCGACATCGACGATCTTCTCCACGCCCTGCTGCTGCGCGTACAGCAGCGCATCCGCCAGCGTCAGCCGCCCCTCCGCGTCCGTATTGTTCACCTGTCAGGGGGATGGGTACAGGGTAAGGGGAGGAAAGGGCGGGAAAGGGAGGAAGGGAGGGGGAAAGGGAGGAAGGGGCGGAGAAGGGGAGGAAGGGTTGCGGAAGAGGAGGAAGGGACAGAGAAGGGGAGGAAGGGATAGGGCGGTTGTGCTAGTGGCAGTGTCAGAAGCAGTAACACACCCAACAACCATTCATTACAACGAGGGGTGAGGAGGGAAAAGAGCCACAAAAGAGCGCAGGCAGGGCCTTGTTTGTGCTACTTCAACCCGATGTCAGCTGTACTTCCCATGCAGTGCAGCATCTGTGACAAAGCATATAGTGATTATCTTTCCCGCCTCACTGCTCTCGCCTCACCTCACTGCTCTCCCCTCACCACCCTGACCTCCCGACTCACCTCAATAGTCTTGCCGTTGGAGGCAGTGATGATGTCGCCCGGCTTCATGCCGCCCCCACTGACCATGTTCTCACACGCCGCTATGATGAAATGCACCTGGAAGAACACGAGGCGAGCCCATCCACAAGGCCAGGAACAAACACACGAATAGACATCACATGAATAACATGAAGCCTTCATGTAACCAGACTGGCATGCAACCAGACCTGTGAACGCAATCATTAAGGGGACGGGAAAAAGGCGGGAATGTGGGAAAAAGGGAACAAGCGCAACATGCACTTGCCTTCACATCCCATTGCATCCAGCACTCTCATGCTCTAACAACACGCATTGACCACCCTCTCCCCCCACAACCCACCTTTGGAGGAGAACGCGTGTCACGGCCCATGGCCGTAACATCCATGTGGCAGCAGCAGGGCGCGTTTAAGATTCAGAGCACCGTCTACAGTTTTTCAAGAGTTCTACGAGAGCAGGTGAATGGAAATCCCTCACCTCCACCCCTGCCGGCTGGATGGCAGCGATGGCCTTGGCAGCGCCCAGCACAGCAGCAGCGCCGCCCATGTCAAACTTCATGAGGTGAATCATTGAGCCCGGCCCCGCCTTGAGGTTGTAGCCGCCACTGGTGCAAGGGAAGGGTGGAAATGGGTGGGGATGGGTGGGAATGGGTGGGGATGGGTGGGAATGGGATGGGAGTTCTTCAGGTGGTGCATCGTGGGCCTGCCTTGAGATTGTGCCCGCCACTGATTGGAAGGATGGGAGCCGGTGAATGGATACACGGTGACTCGTTGAAGTCCAAAAGCGTTACGACTGGAAGGATGAGGTCAAGGAGCCATGAGGAGCCACAAGGAGACCCATGTGCAATGTGCACCTGTCAAAAGCGAGCTGGAAATGAGACCCATGCATACCTATCAAAAGTGAGCTGGAAATGAGACCCATGCATACCTATCACAAGCGAGCTGGAAATGAGACCCATGCATACCTGTCGAAGGTGAGTCCCTTGCCAATCAGCGCCAGCTTCTTCAGCGGCTTCTCCTCCGCCCTCTCAGCAGCAGGCGGCGTGTAGGTGACGTGGATGAACTTGGGCGGGTTGTCCGCCGCTGATGCCTCCGCCACTGCCAGGTACGACCCCATGCCCAGGGCGGCACACTCCTCCTTTTCCAAAATGCGCGCGCTCAGCACATCCGCGTGGGCGGCAGTCAGGTTCACCGCCACGTCAGCGAGGACAGCTGGCGTGAGCACATTGGGCGGCGCGTTGACGAGCTGCTTGGTGAGGATGATTCCCGCCGCCAGCCTCTCCGCCTCGAACACGTCCCTCTGGAGGGACTCCGCGTCACCCAGCCCCACCACTTGCAACTCCTTCACGCCCCTCTCCGCCTTCACCTTCTCCTTCTCCTCTGATTTGAACCGCACATCCTCGAAGCTGCCTACTATAGCGCCCGTCACTATCCCCCGAACCGCGCTCCCCGCTTTAATCTCCTGTCCCTCCGCCGCCTCTGGCTTGCCCAGGAACGCGAGGGATACCTTGCTGGCCTGATTCGTTTTAGCGGCGCCAGCTATAGCGGAGCCTAACCCCTGCCACGAGCCGGCCTCCCCCTTTAGAAGCACATCCGGCTTGCCCAGCCCCAGCAGCGCGACTCTTTTGAACGGCTGCCCGGGAACGCGGAGGACTTGCGAAACCTGCCCGGGCTTCGCTCTGAAATCCGGGTCGGATGCCAGCTCAGCGAGAGCGCCGGAAAGCGTGGCGTCGAGAGATGCCAGCTCAGCTCCGCCCGGCGCGTCGGCAGCGAAGCCAGTGAAATTTGCTGCTGACGTGTCGTCGCGAGAGAGGGCGGAGTCGAAGACAGCGAGGAGGAGGAGTTCGGAGGGGAGGGAGAGCGGCGAGGCGGGATCGAAGGAGACGGACACCTGCCATGGACGAGGAGAGAGGGCGGTGAGGAAGATGGCAGCCGGGGTGACTCGTGAGGGAGAGGAGGAAAGGGATGGGGAAGAGGAGAGAGGGCAGGGGACAGGAGTCGGTGCGGAGGGGAAGGGGGTGGAGGGGTGGGGAGAAACGAGTGAGAGCAATTGGCATGAATTAACAGACGTGGCGTTATAACGAGTGGCACTATACCGAGGGTAGTGGCACTATACCGAGGGCAGTGATACTATACCGAGGGCACGACGGCGTTCCCCGGGACGGTGAGGCCCACCACACCTTCGCCGCGCACAGCCTGCGCCGCTACCGCCGACATGCCGCGCCTCCCCCTGCGCTGGCGCAAGGCGGGCTGCGCCTCCACGGCAGGAGCAAACGCGGCAGCTGCGGATGCGGTAGTAGCAGCGGGGCCGACGGGAGGGCGGGTGGGGTAGGCTGCTGGGGCGCGATGGGCGGGGCGGGGGGACGTAATGCGGGGCTCGCCAGGGGTCGCGGGTGCAGCGCGTCGGGCAGACACAGGCGACGACGCGACGGCCAGGTGCGGACGCACTCGACGAGCAGGCGCTAGGGCGACGCGACGAGCAAAGCCGCTGAGCGGGGCCGCGACGAACAGCGCCAAGCTCGCCGCCATCAGAAAGTATGTGAGGCAGCCCCGAACGGGACCTTCAGGCAAATCGAGTTTCAAGGAGCACAGTGGGTGTTTACCTGTGTGGCTGGTTTGGGGTGTTTGAGGGGGGGGGTGGCCGAAACTCTGGGTGGCCTGGGACTGGGTGGAACATTCGATTATGCGACGTGGCTGTAATCGAAAATGGGAGTTTTGAGTTGCGTACGTGGACATTTTGATTCAGCTCGGGGGGCTTGGGTTGACACGTCACGTCTCGTTTTGGTTAGCCTCGCTTATATGATGCGTGTACTGGGACATTCTTTACTTGAACATTTGTATGATTTTGTACGATTAACATATATGTTTCGTTCATGTTGCGGGTTTTACGACTTTAGTTCTGGCGTCTAAAAGAGTTTTGATGCAATGTAAAGTCATTTTGTACTCCAATTTTGTATGGATTTAGAATGTACACCAGTATTATTATTATTAGTTATATTGAAATTGGTTTCCTATTTGAAGTATTTTTGGCCTAGATGTAGCATTCAGTTTTGGAATTGGAATTGAGCTATCGCTTACCGATAATAATTTTAACGGGATTTTTCTCACCAACGCTGTAACTAGCATGATTTAGTAGTTTTGTATTTCTCGTTTATAATTGTGAATATGCGCGTAAGCAGATAACATTACGATGTTTGGTGTGTGTATTTACATTAACTCAGACTAACCGTTGTTCGCGCAAGTCAATTCACAACCCATCGGTCAACGAGCCGTTGTGCATGTCGCGCTACAAAAAGGTTTCAATGCGCGTACAATTTGTATCGCGCCGCGTTCTAATTTGTGATGAATTTCACATCTACCAGAATCTAGCGAGCAAGAATGGATGAAGTCTGAGAATGTTGGGGTACAAGTACTAACCCTAATGGGTTATACCCCTTACATGCTACCCCACTATAGCCTAGAGATAATAAACTTACATACAGTTTGACACACCCATATAGGCTAAGTGGGGGATAGGGAAGACAACAAACCGTCACAAGACGAGTCAAGCAAAGGAACAAAGCAAAGTAAAGCTCAAGGCGGATCTCAAGATCTGAGCATAAGCAAGCGACCACAAGGCCAGTTCACATGCGGAGTTATAAAAGCACAGGCAGTACAGTGATCACAACCTAGCAAGAGTAAACATGCATGCATAGATGTATAGATCACAGTACAAGGCAAAGTCAAGCAGTAAGCAAGTGAGGCAGAGTAGGCACAAGGCCTAGAACAGTGCAAAAACGCCTATGATCACCAGACTCAAGGGCAGTGTTGGTCCGAGAGGCCGCGTAAGCAAGGCGAAGCTGACCACACTGCTGCAACTCTCGAGCGAGAAAGTAACAAAGAGCAATGTGCTTCATTCTGTGCTCCAGTCTCTGCTCCCGACACAAGGCAATCGTGGCCTTGTTGTCAACGTACAAAACCGGAGGAGAACGAGGTCGCTCACCAAGTCGGCCAGCAGGTAGGTCAGCCAGCATAACTCATGTGCAGCCATAGCTTAAGCGTAGATGCCGGCCTCATACCTGGAACCAAGGACAGAAGACGAACGAGTGGACCTCCACGAGACAAAACCAGAGCCGAGACTGAAAGAGTAACCCTGTGACGACCGCTGGGTCGCCTGGTCGTCGGCCCAAGAAGCGTCTGAGTAACCTGTAAGCACAAGCCCCATGCCTGATGTATTGCACAAGTAGCGCAAAACCCTTTGCTCAGCCCACCAGTGCCTAGGGCGGTGTCTCTCGGGCGCAACGTAGCGCGCCAGGATGCTGAGAGGGTACGCGGGGTCGGGTTGAGTGCGCGTCATCAGGTACATGAGGCAATCCACAAGCTCTGAATACAGACCACTCGGCTCTACGGACTCATCCGAAGGTGGAGCTGAGGGCGAGTGGTTTGTAGGCAGAGGAGTGGGCTGTCACGAGGAGAACCAAAAGCGGAAGCGCTGAAGGACCTGCTGCACCACGTATGACTGAGTCAGAGTGATGGTGTGTGTTGCTCTCTCCCGGGTGATCTGCAAGCCATGATAGCTGCGAAGCTCACCCAGGTCCGTACAGGTGTGTCTCTTCTGCAACTCTGCCTTCACAAGGGTCAGTGCCTCAGTGCCAGCAGTAGCAAAGACCTAGTCATCGACGTACACGAGGATGTAGAGCGGCGGCAGAGAAGGGTTGGTGCGCAGAAACAACAACGGGCCAGCAGTCGAAGGAGCAAAACCCAAGAGCCGCAAGTGTAGTCCTCTGGGCGCATGACGGAGACCGTAGACAGGCCACCGAAGGCTCCACAGGGTACCCTCAGGAAACGACCCAGTGAAGCTAGGTGGGCGGCGAAGCCAGATCTCCTTGTGAAGGCTGTCCTGCCAGAAAGCTGTCGAGAAGTCGAGCGAGTGGAGCTCGTAGTCACGCTGTGCTGCAACGTGCAGTAACACCTGAAGAGTGGTCATCTTGGGGTGGGGGAGAAGGTCTGGAAGAAGCCGACCTTTTGTCGCTGACTGAACCCTCGTGCAACGTAACGCGCCTTGAAGGCAGGCAGAGAACCCGACAGCCGCTTCACTATGAAAATCCACGTGCCATCGACTATGTTCGCCCCAAGAGGGGGAATCTCGTCGACGTAGGTGCCTGTGAACTTCCATGAAGCCATCTCTGCATCCATGGCTGTCTGCCACTAAGATGAATACTCACCCGTGATCACCTCTACATAAGAGCGCGGGGTTGGGATGTCTAGTGTATCCGGGTCTCCCTCAGGGCAAAGCAGCACGGAAGCGAGATGAGGTACAGCAGCCGCAAAGCACTCGAGCTCAAACTGCCTGTCCTCAAGGACGTTATGCCAAGGGCAAGCTCACCCCGACGGACGGAGGATAGTCTGACCCAGACTCGGTAATAAGACTCGCGAAGTAGTCTAAACGATAGGTAGCAGCAAAGTAAACGAGCTCAATGACTAAGGCCGACGCAGTAGTAGACTCAAAGGAAGGGTCAGTGACAAGTGTGGCCAGGACACGCGTGACAGTGGGACTAGCAGCACGACCAAGGTCAGACTCAGGGTCAGGAACGTCAGAAAGAGAGGACGCCGACGGAGACGGCAGGGCAACATGCTGCGGAACAGGTGAAGGATGAAATGCCATAGCGCGCGCGCCGGGGACTGGGGGAGGACGAACACGATGAGCACGACAAACAGTGGAAACAAGCGAGGCAGGACGAGACGCATGCTCACGACGCTCTGTGAGGGAGTCTGTCTGCTCAGGGTAAGGAGAAGGAGCAGGCAGAGGTGAGTGAGGCTGTAACGGTGGCTGTGACTGGTCAGGCGGAGGACACAGTAAAGGTGGAGTAAGGCCAGTGGACGACGGGAGACTAAGAACCTTGCGAAGTGCTGAGTCAGGTGGTGGTAGTGACGACTGCGGCTGCGGCAAGAAAAACGGTCACCGCTGCACAGTACCCATAGTACCAGAGCCTCCAGCTCTAGTACCTCCAGCACTTGCACCTCTAGTACCTCCAATACCAGTACCGCCAGTACCTCCAGCACCTCCAGCTCCAGCACCTCCAGCACCAGCAGCTCCAGTACCTCCAGCTCTAGTACCTCCAGCTCCAGCACCTCCAACACCAGCAGCTCCTGCACCTCTAGCACCTCCAGCTCCAGTATTTCCAGCACCTCCAGCTCTAGCACCTCCAGCACCAGTACCTCCAAGACCTCCAGCTCCAGCACCTCTAGCACCAATACCTCCAGCATCTCCATCTCTAGCACCTCCAGTACCTCCAGCTCCAGCGCCCCCAGCACCAGCAGCTCTAGCTTCGCGACCAGAGCGGCCTCGCCAAAAAACCCACTCGCGAAGCTGCTGCGGCAAGAGGGTCTCTTGTCGACGAGACTGCTGCTGATGTCCAACGCCAGAACCTCCAGCAGGAGCACCCACGACTCCACCACAACCAAGACGCGCAGCACCCCCAGAAGCAGCACCCCCAGAAGCAGCACCCCTAGACTCAGCAACCCCAGAACCAGCACCTGCAGAGTCAGCAGCCCCAGGACCAGCACCCCCAGAGTCCGCACTCCCAATGTCACCACCCCCAGCAGCACCGTAGTCTATAACGCCAGGCTGCAGAGGCGGCGAAGACGACCGAGGCGGAAATCCAGGAGGGATCTCCAAACGCGCGAAGCGGCGAGTGGAAGCTGTGTCGTCAGCAGCAGTTTCACCCCCCTCAACTGGGCCGTAGGTGTCAGAAAAAACCTCCAAAGGCTCAACCAAGGGGGGTGGGTCGACTTGAGACACACCTGAGGAAGCAGGACCTTGTGGGGGGAGGAGGTCTACCAGGGGGGGAGCTGGAACCAGGAAGAGGGGCGGAGGGGGGACAGGAGAAGATGCGTGGGGGTGGAGACGGTGGAAGCAAATCGACTCGTTGATAGAGACGTCCTGGGAGGACAGGACGCGATGCGAGGCAGGGTGGTAAAACTGCAAGGGCGGGACATCAGTGGGAAAGCCAAGGAAGACGCAGCGGAGAGTGCTAGGAGAGAGCTTGCCCGCGGTAGGATCGCAGATAAGGTCAAGCGAGCCCCAGACCCGAAACGTCGACGCATCGCCAACCTCCCCTGTCCAACGCAGTGTAGGCGGGATCTCCGGCACAGAGACACGGGGCCAGAAGTTGAGCTGATGCGCGGCGTATCGGACCGCAAACGACTACAGAAAATAGGGAGCAGCCGCATGGATCATGGAGGTGCGAGCAACCTCCATGATCAAGCCAATGCGACGCTCAGCAATCCCATTCTGCTGTAGAGAGGCCGGAAGCATGAACGTCTGAGGGATGCCCTCCTTACGACAAAAGTCCTCAAGGAGGCGGGAGGAAAACTCACCGCCTCTGTCAGAGTGCAGTCGCAGGACCTAGGTCCTGCTCAAACCGCGCGTTCAGCAAGCGACGAACAGTGCGGATCCAGGGGATCAAAACACCGCAGACATCCGCCTTGATCTGCAAGAGAAAGACCATGGTGTAGCGCGTGTAGTCGTCAACAACCAGGAGAAAGTA